TGGCCTCTCTAACACTCTGGAATTTTGTCAGTACTGGGACCTGAAATTAAGGGAACTTTAGGGCAAAACTGGAGGAAGACTGGAAAGGAGTTGAGAGATGTGAGGGAGACAGAGCCAGCTCAGGAACCACCTCCTCCAGGAATGCTCCGCGCAGTTGCCTAAGTTAGGTGTCCCCTTCCCTCTGCTTCATGGCCTGCATTATGTTCCAGTGGGATCAATACCTTAATTTTTTATCTCCCCTCTAGACCACACATTTCTTGAGGGCTGCGATCACCTCTCATTTGCCTCTACCTACCTTCAATGCTTTATTTTTAGGTTGAAATGAATTAGAGACTATTTACGTTCCAGTTTTTAGGTGAAGGGCCAAGACCTCTCTCTGTGTGTGGGTGTGCTGATCGGCATGTGCTACACCTCGAAGGCACTGACTGCCATTTTCAGTTTTGATCTCTTTAACGGGGATTAGAAACTGAAAAGTATTTGACAATCGGAATGCAGATTTTTAAAATGATGTTTCCCTTTCTTTTTCAGTCATCTCCCCAGTATATGATTTGATAACAAAACTGTTTAGCAACTTGCTGTTATGGAATCAATCTTTCCAAACAGAAACATTAGTTTTACGTTCATATTTTCGGGGGTTATGTAACATTTAGTTAAATTATATAATAAGAATAATATGCACAGCTGGCATAGACAGGCTGAGTTAAAAACAAATGACTCCTGGTAAGCATGCGATTCGACCAAATGGGGGAGCAGAAGTGCATGGGTCGTAGCCATGAAGGTTTGATGAGCCATGAGTGGCAGTCAGTATGTTTTACAAAAAAATTGATGGTGTCATTTAAACCAGTGAGCCAGGTAAGTGCAGGTTGTTTAAAGTTTTATTTTAATAATATCAATAATAATAACTAACACTTATTGAGTGCTTACTTTGTGTCAGAGATCATCCTAAGTGCTTCTATTTATATCTCAATTAATTATAACCCAAAGAAAGTATTACCATTCCCATTTTATATATAAGAAAATTGAAGTTCAACAAAGTTCAGTAACTCTTCCAACTTCTCACAGGTACTAGGTGGTAGAGCTGAGCTTCTGTCCAATTCTAAAACCCATGCCTTATGCACGACAGTATATCATTTCACGTATCTGTCTCTGGATACATGAATGGATGCGGGCAATTATGCAGGGGACAGGGAAAAGCTGGAAGTTAGGAGACATATACTTACAGTCAGGAAAGTGTCTCTTAAAGACCAACTGACTTTTTCTTGGCAGTTTCCTGAGGTGAGAGGGGTTCCCAAGGAGGTTGGATGCTCTCAGAGAGGTTGGGAGTGTGGGGAAGTCCATGATAGTCCACGAAGGAAGCCTGTATCTGGTGCTGGGACACGTCAGTCCTGTCTCTTGTATCTAGTCCAGATTTCTGACCACCATCATGATTGGCCTCCATTTAGTTCAATTCTGCCTTCTTTTATTCCAACTGAATCTGGCTGGAATTTTTATTTTATTATTATTTTTTTATCCTTACCTGAGGACATTTCTCCATTTTTTGTTCAGATAGAGTGGGAGGGAGGGAGGGAGAGAGAGAGAGAGAGAGAGAGAGAGAGAGAGAGAGAGAGAGAGAGAGAGAAACATCAATGTGAAAGGGACATATCGAGTGGCCGCCACCTGCATGACTCAACCAGGGCCGGGGACAAACTGCAACCGAGGTACATGCCCTTAGCGGGAACTGAACCCCGGTCTCTGTGGACCGCAGGCCGACGCTCCAACCACTGAGCCAAACTGGCCAGGGCTCTGGCTGGAATTTTAAAATCTTTATTACAGAATAAAGAGAAAACAACAAAGCTACACTTTCAGTGCCTTGACTCATGACCCCAATAAGCTAGCAGCTGATCCACAGATCAGCTTGGCTGCCAAGACTTATGAGCCAAACACCTTCCCATTTCAATTTCATACCTTAGCCCTAGATGGATCAAGCACGATTGATTCAGGCTGGCACCATGGCCAGACCTGGAGGGACCTTCAGTTCTTCCCCAGACCTTTTTCTTAGCTACCCTCTCTAAGCATCTGTCCTCTGACCAGCTGCACACCTCTGAGCCACCAAACTCCAGAGATCCTGCTCTCCTGGTGAGGAATAGTCAAGGTCTGGCTCATCCTCTGTTGGATTTCAGTCCCCTCTCTCTCCTTCCCCACTTATATCTCCATTTCTTTTGCTTTCTGGGCCACTCTTATCCTTAGAAGAGGCCCTCTCTCATCCTCAGCCCATTTATCCTTGCCCTCTTGAATCCCATTACCTGAAGCACATCTACTGGCTGAGGTTTAAGCTAGGTTTCTTCCTCACTCAGATTCCCAGCTGATATTTGGGTCTAGTCTCTTCTCTGCCTTCACCGTGGAGAAGGCACTGTGCTCCCTGGCACCTCACTATCTCCAGCTAGATCCTCCCATGGCCTGAAGTGGATTCCTCACCTCCTGCCAGTTCGCCCTTCTGCCTGGAATGCATTCCCTCTTTTTTTTTACTGAGCTACTTTTTAATTATCCTCTGAAGCACAGCTTTGATGTCAGCTCCTTCAAGAAGCTCCTCCAATCTCATATCTGTCTTGGGTGCCTTTCCTCTGTGTTGAGTGCCTTCTTAGCTCTTGAAACATTATGCTGAAATTGATGAATTACTTGTATGTCTCCCCACTGGACTCTGAGCCTTGAGAACCTATGTCCTATTCACTGGTGTGTCCAGCACCTAACGATGTTTGTCATGTAGTAGGTGCTCAATGAATGTTGTTTGTTGAATTGTATTAATCAACCCATGATTAAATCCCTTCAGGTTTGAAAGTCTAGCCTACTACCCATCAACTTTCATCTGCTATATAAGGATGGTTCTGTCTCCCTGTTCATGTGTGGGGCAGATGATTGAATTTAGTGAATGAACAAGTGAAGGTCACCCAGCCACACACCTCCTCAATGGACTCATTCTTCACCCCCAGTTTCCATGGTTTAAGGCAAGGAAGATTCCTCTCTCACACCATATGTACACCATGGTTGAGCTGGGGGTTCTGCTTTGCAGTCATCTCTGAGGGACCCAACTATGGCTCTAAGAAGTACTGTGGTTAAAAAAAAAGTTAAAATCTGTTTACATTTGCTCAACCTTCTGTTTCTCAAGTTATTTAACCACACAATCCTTTTTCTTATGTGACACCTATTTATATCTTATGGGCCTCATGCTCAGAAATACCAGTCTAAAGGGGTTAGCATAATACATCTTTGTGGCACATCTAATGGGTGATAAAATATGAGTAAAGCAGTCTCTGCTCACATTTGTTGATTTTTAAAATGTGTTGAATGCCCAGCTGGTGTGGCTCAGTGGTTGAGTGTTGACCCATGCATCAAGAGGTAGCCGGTTCGATTCCCGGTCAGGGCACGTGCCCAGGTTGTGCACCTGATCCCCGTTGGGGGACATGCAGGAGGCAGCCAATCAATGTTCTCTCTCATTAATGTTTCTATCTTTCTCTCCCTCCCTCTCCCTTTCTTTCTCTCTAAAATCAATAAAGAAAATGTATTTAAAATTTTTTAACTGCATTGAACAAAGATCTGTGGAGTTCATGGTATATAGAATGGTTCAGTCCTTATGTCATTTGCAGATGTTCAAGATGGTACAGAGGAGAAACAAGCTCTGGGTCCCTTTTCAATAACAATGCTGATACTCAAAGTAAAGTATAGCTGACACCTCTACCTTCTAGACCGCATGAGGGAGTTCTGCAGATGTTAATTTTCCTGGGAGCTGTGCACAGGGGAGTCATTGCCCAGGTGTTCTCCCAGGTGGCTATTACATGGTGGTCTTGAGAACCACATTCAAGGAGCTGTCTAGAGGTCAAGACCCTGGAGAAGCAGCATTTGAGGGTTTCAGAGGCCTGAGAAACATCCATGAGAAAGGCTGTCTCAGAAAGTTGATGGGGGTTTTAGGGTGAAAGGCAGGGGCTTGGAGCACAGGGAATATCTGTGATTGATAAGACTCACTGGGTATCCTTGACCACTTGTGGGACTTTCAATCCAAGGCAGTGTGGACCTGTGTGGGACCTGTCCTCCTCTCTGGGGCATGATGTCCTACCCTGAGAACTTTATATGGAAAAGACAGGTCTTGAGTTTTTCTGGCTTTTCAATTAATCTTTGTTCTTGAAGATGGGCCTTCTAGAAAGGGGCAGTAAGTTAAGTGTGGTCTCAGGGAAAGGTCTAATCAGTGACTCTCAAATGCTTTAACCCTGATTTACAGCCTGAAATACATTTTTCATGGTGACCCAGCACACACACACACACACACACACACACACACACACAGTTTCAATAAGCAGTACAAGCAGTATCTACACTTATATATGTGATGCACCTTGCTATTTTATTTTCTATTTTATTCTATTTCATTAAATTGATTTCATGACCTGCTAATAGATTGCATCCTGCACTTTGAGAAACATTGGTCTAATAGATGATGACTTGTCCTTGAAGGTGATTGAGGAAGATGTTTGTGAATAATGAAATTCAGATGAGCAATGCAAAAACCTGCACAAACTGACTGTATACTTTAAAGGCTCATAGCAAATCTAGAATCTAGTTTTGTGTCACCCCTGAACATTGAGGTTGGAGGTAGTAAAAACAATAACAATAAAAAAATAAAAACAGCATTTACTGAGGACCTACTCAGTGCAGAGAACTGGGCTAGGTGCTTGAGTGGGATAAAAATTAAAATAGTAAATACTCCCTGTCCTTAAAAAAGTTCATAACCTAGCTGAAGAGGTGAACAGGATCATGAACACAAGACTTTAAGGGCATTTCAAGTCACTGGCAGAATGAGGAGGTGTAGGAAGACATCCCCCACTAGAAATACAAACTTTATAATTATATGTTATAAAAAATATATATAAAATATAACAATTGAAAAGTATATAAACACATTCTAAAGCAATAAATGAAAGTCTCTAAGTGCCAGGAATTAAAATAAAACTCAGATCCAAAGTGACCAGTGGGTACTCGGTTCGGTAGCACATACACTAAAATTAGAACGATACAGAGAAGATTAGCATGGCCCCTGCACAAGGGTGACATGAAAATTTGTGAAATGTTCCACATTTTTATAAATGGTGATGGAAGGAGACTAGATGATGTATTATAGAATTGTACACTTGAAACCTATATAATTTTATTAACCAATGTAACCCCAATAAATTAAATTAAATTAAATTTAAAAAAAACCTCAAAGTGACCAGTGGGAGCTCACAGAGGCCTTAGAGCTAGTATGTCACAGACTAGAGTTTAACAACAATGAGTATAGAAGAGTGAGTCCCAGGCTTCTGCATTTTCAGGAGCTGGAACTGAGCTCCCTTTATAAAGTTAGGAGCCATAGGGTTACTTATTCATGTAACAGGAACCAGAAAACTCCACTTACTGATGAGGATTCAGTAAAGAAGCTTGTCATCTTTCTGGGGCAGAGGGTAGAATAAGAATCATCTGCGAAAAATTAGAACCCCAAGTGTATACCAAACGTGGATGTGCAGTGTGAATTTGCATTACTCACAAGGTATGGAAAACTCAATTCAAGAAAATAACAAGTCAACTGGTCCAGAAATGGTGAAACCCAGAGGCAAAACTGACTGCTTGACATGATGCCACATCCATGACTAAGGGCATGTGAGCCTCTCACAGAAACCAAGTCCTGCTGGAGGTGAGTTCACAATAAAAAATACAAACTATAAGAAGAAATGAACCATCCCAAAAAAAGAGAACCAGAAAAGATAATACATTGGAGAATTCAAATAACTGTATAGTTAACAAACCAATATGGAAAGTACTTTAACATAAACATATTTTAAATGCCCCCCCCCTAAATTGAAAGAATAAACTCTAAATGTCAATAATAAGACAAAATGGAAAAGAAATTAGTTGAAAAAGAACCAATAGAGTTTCTAGAAATAAAATAATATTTAAATAAAAACTCACTGCTGAAGAGAAAATTAGTGAATTGGAAGATAAATTGGAAAGTAACCAAAATTCAACTCCCAGAGTTAAAGTCATGGAAAATATGAAGAAGTTAGGAAGCATGAGGAATAAAATGAGAAGGTCAAATAGAAATATTAGAAATTCCAGGAGAGAACAGAGACAAAAGATAGAGAAGCAATATATGAAGATATATGATGGAGACTTGACCAGCATTGAATGAAAAAAATGAATTCTCAATAAGAAGGAACACAACTGGGTTTTTGGGCAGAATAAATAAAAATAGGTTTCCACCTAAACACATTGTAGTAATATTGCAGAATATTAAAGACAAAAGTCTGAAAAGTTACCAGCATATTGACAGTCAGGCAGCAGGCTTCTCATTAGTAGCAACAGAAACCAGGAGATAAATCATTACAGCCTCAAAATGCTAAAGAAAAATAACTGTCAACTTAGGATCCTATAAACCAGATAATTATCATTCAACACAGAAATGGTAAAATAAAGACAATTGCAGTTGCAAAAGAAAGAATTTACTATTCACAGATACTTGCTAAAGAAATTTCTGAAAGACTTTAGTGAGTATCCCAAAGGAAGAATTGGGATAATAGAAGCAATAGTGAGCAAAGAATTTGGTAAATATATAGGTAAATATAAATAACAATCATAGCCCTGGCCGGTTTGGCTCAGCGGTTAGAGCGTCGGCCTGCGGTCCGGAGAGACCGGGGTTCGGTTCCCGCTAAATAACAATCATAATGATAATAATAAATATTTTGAAAAAGTATACAATATGGTGGAACTAAAATACTAATCAATAAATAACAAAAAGTGGAAGAAGTTGGTTTGCATTCTAAGATCCTTCTATTATTTATGAGAACAGAAATATGGATTAATCTTTAAGTAAAATATGTGTTTAAAAAATTAAGAGTAATTCTATCTCTCTAGAAATGGAATGTTAACTTCCAAACCAGTAGAAAAGAAAATTTAAAAAAGCACACAGAAAGAATAAAGAAAAACTTTATTAACGCTATAGAGGGCATGAAAGAGGAAAAGCAAAGAAAAAAAAAACACAAAGTAAGATGATAGAAGTCCAAATGCATTAATCACAATAAAGGTAGACATCAAATCTGCTCATTAAAAGAGATTTTCCATTTGAATTTTTTAAAAATCCAGGTATAGGCTAGTTCACAAAAGACTTGCCTAAAACATAAAGTCACAGAAAGATTGAAAATGAAGATATAGAATATGATATGCTAGGCAAATATTAACCAGAAGGAAGCTAGGCTAGCAATATTGGTATCAAACAAAAGTTTAAGAGCAAAAGCATTTACAGAGATAAAACGGGATATTACTTACTGATAGAAGGAAAAATCCAACAAGGAGATTTACTAACCAGCAGACTAGGAAGATCTCGCCTGAGCAGATTGAGTTCAGCCTAGGTAGGCTCCTCTAACCTGGCTGGTGAGCGGATGGTCAGCTTCCTGCTGACTACATTTGCACTGGCTTGCACTTGCCTGGGCTGGGGAGGGTACACCAAGACTGGACACTGCTGGAGAAAAACGTACTATTTTTCTTGAGCACATCCTTTTTTTTTTTATCCTCACCTGAGGACATTTTCCTTTTTGTTCAGATAGAGTGGGAGGGAGACAAAGAGAGAAAAACATCGATGTGAAAGGGACACATCGAGTGGTTGCTACTCGCACAACCAACCAGGGCCAGGGACAAACTGCAGCTGAGGTATGTGCCCTTAGTGGGAACCAAACCCGGGTCTCTCCAGACCGCAGGCTGACGCTCTAACCGCTGAGCCAAACCGTCCAGGGCTTGAGTACATCTTATAACTGTTGCATGGTCTTAGTACATGTTCATTATAAACTTTTAGTATTTGGATTTTGCGAAGTCTAGGGATAAGAAGAAACCACTAACCAGTCGGCAAGAGTAACAACACGGTCTGGAAAAGAACCGAATCCTCCTCCATGGGGCTCAAAATGTTATGTGCCAATGGTGTTTCTCTCAGAGTCACTTCTGTAAGTGTGAAGGACCTAAGGGGCTCTGGGATTTGAGACCAAAGTAGAGGGTTTGGTATATGTCATTTAGTGGATCAAGTGACAAGAAAGTAAAGTGGCAGGAAGGTGGGTAAGACTTGCCATCTGGAGACCCAGAGTCCTGTCCTTACTTCTGAAGCCAGATCAGCATCTGGTGTCCCAGCCTCAACCTGACCAGACATCTACAGACACTCAGAACTGATCCTTCTGGACATACTTCCCTTTGTGCATAATGTTCCCTCCAGACATATTACAGTGTGATGTGTCCATAAGACTTGACAATATGGCCTTGCTGGTCCCATCTTTCATTCTGGTTGGCATACCCTAGGACCAAGGCCTTGCCCTTTACGATGGAGTTGGTCCTCTCAAGAGTTTTTTCTGCCCATCCTTTGGAGAGTGTGAGTTTATTTCTGTGATATATACTTCTTGGAGTGCTTGCCCAGCATCGTTGGGGGCTACTCTCCCCACCCACAGGGATGGATTCCTGGGAGCCATATTTAGCCAAAGTCAACTGAGGCAAGGTCAGACACCCCACACAAAGTGAGCCATTCAGATTCCTGCACTTGGGACTTAGAAATTTGAACGGATGGAGCCAGAGATTGGGATGCAAGCAGAGTCACATTGATGGCAGTATGTAGAAGGCCAGTGGGCTTCAGCTTCTAGGGACACAGAGCTGCTTTGGCTTCTGCCTTTCCCAAGCCTGGATGTGAGATACTTCTGAGTATTCTCAGTAAACATCTCTTTGTGCTTCAGCCATTTGCAGCATTATTAACATAGCTTGGTTAAAGAAGGGATCTCCTCTTCCATAGGAAGCGTCTTCTCCTAGCAATTCCAACAACTGCCAGTTTAGAAGCTCTGGTTCACTGTGGCCTAAGGGCTCCAGTATGGTGGCAGATCAACCCACTCCAGAACAGGTGCCGAGTCTGCCTGTCACCCCTGAGTAGGACTGTCTTGTCTCATCCTAGGAGAAGTAGCTGGAAGGCTTGCACCTGCGTTTTCCCTGCTTAGCAGGAAGCCTGTCCTTCCATTATATCAGAGGCAGTGGGTACACCAAAGTGTTCTATTGTCAATGCCAGCTAACCAGTAAACTCCTCCAGGATTTCAAATGAATCGAAAGAACTAAGCAGGGAGTCAGGGCAAGAAGCAATAAGGAGTTATAGTGTACATCCTGGAGCTGCATCCGGAGGGCAGGGTTCTCTGAAGACACTGGCTATACTTGATTTTGTGGAGTGGTATTCTTTGTAGATGTTGGGTGTACATGAACCTGCATTCCATCTGTATTCTCCATGTACATGGGTTACCTGTTCCCGTGGGTTGTATTCTCAGAGACTCTGGATATATCTGATCTTGCAGATAGTTTTCCAGGAAACCATGGCTCAATCCAGTTATATAAGGAGGGGTCTCTTATGGACCATGAGGATACCTGGTTGTGTGGGAAAGTGTCCCTGGGGCCACAGGTGTACTGAGGCTGCAGGTTAGCGGCAGTGCTTCAGACGGCATGGTATCTTCGGAGACTAAAGCCATACCTAGTCCTGACAAGCACAGTTTCCCCATTCTTATGAAGGATATATGGGAGCAGCCTCTGTTATTAAAAATAAATGCCGACTTCCGGTCAAGATGGCGGCGTAGGTAAATGCAGTATCGCGTCCTCCCACAACCACATCAAAGTTACAACTAAACTACAGAACAACCATCATTCAAAACCGCCTGAAATTAAGCTGAATGGAAGTCCTACAACTACGGAATTAAAGCAGCAGCCACATCCAGACTGGTAGGAGGGGCGGAGGGGCGGAGGGGCTGGTCACACACCCAAGTGTGGCGGATAAAAATCAGGAAGACACCTCAGCTGGGAAGGTCCTTCCTGAGGACTGAGGGGTCCCCGTGCCACACCAGGTGCCCCGCTCAGGGTTCCAGTGCCAGGAAGAGAATCCCCATAACTTCTTGCTGGAAAAACCAGCGGGATCTGAGGCTCAGGGAGGCTGAGGCAGCTGGAGCCCCAGGCAGCTCCCTAAAGGGCCCGCGCACGGACTTATCGGACTCTCTCCCTCTCAGCTTGGAGGGGAGGCAGCTCGAGGGGCACCAGAGACATACAGGGAAG